TGGTATTTTTTTTTTCAAAGTCCACAAGCTTTTCATGTTCTCAAGCTTCCACGGCTTGAGGGTGCCCTTGAGGCCTTGAGTTGTCTTCACAGTGTATGTGTATGGGAGTTCAATGAGTTGTTAGAGGGGGGTGAGATGACATATGATTTATGCATTCTCCAAAGTCTGTCAGAAAAACACGAAAGATACAGATACATATTCCAAATTGCAACGTATTCAAAAAGAAAGAGGAGCTCTAAGTACCAACAGCGGTAAAAAAAAGTACAGGTAAAAGAAACGATGGCTTAGCAATGAGGGAGGACTAGGGGTACCAGATTAAGTCAGAGGACAAAGGGGAGAGCAGCATCAAACTCAAAAAGACATAGTCGAGTCAACCTGAATAGTTGGCACGATGCTCGCAATCAACTTGAGGCAAACAACCAGATAAAAGTCAACCCTCATTCCCTCCACCTCCTCTTCCTCAGCCCCAACTTGCAACTGTTGAATGTCCTTGGCACTCCCAGACGACTTTCGGCTGAATGGCCATTTCTTCTCTTTCTTAGGGGTGTCCTTGCCTGACGAAGAAGAGGATTTACCATGCTGCGCGAGCTGTTCCTCGACGACACTGTTGTTCATCCTTTCTATCACTTTCTTCATGACGCTGGCATGTTTGCATGGATGCATGGAGGCGGCTTGGAGAGAGGCGGAGTGGATGAATGGTTCAATCGTTACTGTTTTCTGGGTATAGTCTGCTGAGATGTCTTGGAAGATTTGGGAGGGGGTTAGTGGGGTGTGGTTCTGTTGTTTCCGTTAGTTAGCATAGAAAAGAGAATGGGGACAAAGGGTAAAGGCGAACCTCGTCGTAGCCGATCAGCCAAATGCATGGGGTCTGGTAATACTTGTCGTATGTGATCATCACATCGTACGTGCGGACTTGAAGCAGATTGCCCTTTGCGACTTCCGCGTTAGCGCTACAAAGAGATCATCAGTGCGCTTCAAATTTCAGCAGCCTCAATGACAAAACATACCTAGCATCAACCCCGGCAGCAGCAGGTATAACGGCCGTCTTAGGCGCCGTAGCCGTAGCCTCATCATCCCCTTCCTCCAAATCATCCTCCTCCATATCAGGGATATCGTCCAAATCAGGCGTCTCCGGCCCAACACCCTCACCCCCAGCACCCAACGACACGCCCCCCAAGCCCCTCACAATCCTCTCCTCATCCTCATGTGGCCCATCCCCATCCAAATCAGGGATATCCGCAATCTCACCCAGGTTCGTTGCAGAATCCGTTCGATGCGCCTGCCGACCCATGTGTGTCTCGACCCACTCATCGCCATCTGCGGAGGGGGAAGAGGAATCAGTGAAGGAGAGGAGACGCTCAGCGTCCTCGTCTGCATCTGTGTAGGCTAGGGAGGTGGCATGCCAGAGGCAGGGGATGCCACGCGTTACTAGGTATTGTTTGTCTTGTGGGAGGAAGTCACGGGATTTGGATGTGTCTCCTTTTTCCCTGTTTACAAGTCACTCAATCTTCACATAGAAAGGAGGAGGAAGGAAGGAAATGGAGAAGGAATGCGCTTACCATGTCCATACGGGGAACTTGTACACCAAAAAGGCACCTGCAGCGATGAATTCCTCTGTTGTTCATTTCACGGTGAGCAAAAAGGAACGTGATAGATGATCGTGAAACGTACCAGGTGTAATACGACCGTGTTCTTTGAATTTGCTCTCTTTGAGAACCTAATAGATGGGTTTGACAGTGAGATGATGCCCAGATCGCGGATAATAAGGCTCACTGGGCTTAGGTACTCGCGCACGGCAAACAGGCTGGACTGGATGATATTATGGTTAGGATGGTGGAGGCGAACGACACGGTTATGGACTTGGAGGTTGATAACCCCAATGGATTCGATTTCATCACGAGGATCCAGTACTCAGTGTCAAGTGACGCTTAGTGATTGTCACGGGTTTTCCAACCCGTGCGGGTTGCGGGTAAGGGTACATGTGGGTATGGGTATGGGTTGGACATTCTGTACCCTTGCTGTACCCATACCCATAGCAGGGGTTTGTGGGTTACCCGCACGTATACCCCCCAAAAAAAGCTCATTCAGACAATTGGTGACAAACACGATGTCACACGTTATTACATATCTTCTTGCAACCACATCAATGATTCCCCAGTCCCGCCCTCATCGATGCATCCTCCACCCCGCGCAGGCCTCGCCTCACACACCTCATAGCAGCAAAGAACCACCACTATTGCGACACGACACCCAACATTCTTGTCATGTGCACCTTCTCTCGGGCTCTTCCACAGCCCCCTCGTTTACCGTTAACCCCAGCATTCATCTCGTCGACACCTTCCGTAGGCGTCGACATGACACATCATGCATTGACGTTCGGTAAACGACCTCTCGGTGCTTGTATGGGTGGCCCATCGCTGCCTAGCCATGCACACCGTCAGAGACCAGAGAACTGTGAGGGAAAGGACGAGCTTGTGAAGGTGAAGATGTAGGGAGGCCTGAAAGCGAGATCGTACGCCCGAAATGACGAAGAAGACAAGAATCTACAACTCCCGGATCCAACACTCGCGCGGAGCCTCAGATTACGCGCAGAAGGGCTCAAAAAAGTCGTCACATCCATCATCCATGCTCGAACACCCCCCTCTGATCCATCCGATCGACGACGACGACATCACTGCACCACCAAGTTCACCCAAGCTCAAAACCTCCAAGCATCCGCATACTTTACCAAATGCGGTTTGATATCGGAAAGAGGGGTTTCCAGAGGACGAGAAGAGGTGTGCATCTCCGGTACGCATCCTTTTCCTTTCTCTTCTACCTTATACCAACTACAGTAGAAGTTCTCATAACGCATAACGCCGGGAAGGGCCAATTTCCGATGCATTATTAGATTTATGTCAGTGTAGATAGGTGTAACAAAATGTGACCGTGACATATTGTGTGACTCTAGTGTGACTCTCTGCTGGTTCAGCGATGTCTGCCTTGCCTTCACTGTCTCCACCCTCCTCAGTTGGATTTGGAACACCCTCAGGCTTTGAGAGAGGTCTAGAGAGGTCTCCTTGTCTTCATATTTGAGAGAGAGGCATTCCACTTTCTCACTTAAACTCCTCAACTCACATATTCTGATGTCCTCCTCCTTCTTGTCATCAGACTCAAATTCCTTGAACATGTCTGAGACAAATACTTAACATATACTGACAGCAAAATTTCTAGCAAAAGATTGATTAGATAGCACTCAATCATGGTCTCCCCAAGATAAAGGACTTATCTCAAATTTTTTACAAAATAATCACTTAAATTATTGTCAGTGTTGCCTAATTAACCCCAAAATATTCTATCTCATACTGCATATTTGCCCTCAAAATGTTATGCATTATGCGATATGCGAAACCCAAGACTAACCAACATGGGAAGAGCCCAAATGTGATGCTTAATGAGAATTATGCATGCATAGATCATGCACTATGAGAACTTCTACTGTAACACCAAAGGTGCAGATACACCTGATATCTAACGTCCCCACCCCACGCACACCCACCTATTTGGTTCGGAACATCCGCATAGATGATGTCAAGCCATGCATCGTCGTAACCAAACCTCAAGCCACCTCTCTTCCTCGTACAACTATGCATCACCCAACACCTCTTAGCAGACTGAGGCCACCTCTTCCACCCTCTTCTCTGTGTCCCCACGTAATCATTTCCCAAATCACCATTTCCCCCGGCTCCACATTTGCCTTCCCCACCCCGCCTCATCGCCGCCCTCTCCTGCCTGCGGCATGATGCCCTTCCTCAAAACGACGTGAAAATCTCGGTGAAAGATTATGCTGTGATATGGCAGCACACCCTCTCTATCGATGGGCAGCACTCGGAGCATTCACGCCCACCGATTTCGTGACATCAAGCCACACCTCGTCATTCTTGAGGGAGTTTGGAAGCGCATCGGAGACGTTGAGCTCTGTCCGCCTTAGGGACATCCAGAGAGACGACCTTAAGCCCTTCTAATGACCACACAGCATGACAACACAACACTGCCGCCGAGGACTGGTGCTCCAGATGAGGCGAGACGACGACGGCGAGGAGGGTTGGTTAGAGGAGACACAAATGACATTAAACCCTTCCCCCTTCCTCACCGTGATTTTCTTAGTCTGCCCACCATTATTACATGTATATCAGTTTATCCACTTATAGTCAGCTTGTTTGGTAGTTACTTATTGTACTAGGTGCCCTAACGGTGGTGCCAAACCCGTAAGACCCACCAAACCCGCCAAACCCACGTAAAACCCGTACCCTTACCCACAGAAACCCCTACCCGTGGTTGAGGGTATGGGTTTTCATGGGTAGGGGTACGGGTATGGCTGAAAGTACCCGGGGGTTACCTGTGACAATGCCTAGTGACGCTCCATTTATCTGACTATTGTGTTGGCCGAAGCAGTGGGTAATTCCATCGTCTGAAACTGTTGCGTCGTTCAGAGCTGGTTCAGAGTTGGTTCAGAGTCAGGCTCCTAACCACCCGTCGTTGCTTGTTCGTTCCAGTCCTTGTAATAGGCTTGATCCCATTGCGGGGAATTTCCGAATCTTTTGAAATAAACAGGAGCAAATCTAAACCTAAAACTTGGAAGAACAAGCAACAATGGCTGGCAAACTATGTGTGGGAAAAGATCTTATCTGGTTTCAAAGCAGCCAGAGATCGTGAAAATGACCAGATACCCATCACGTGGACTGGCGCGTCTCGCAAAGTAGTGTAAAATATTTCCTAGTAGCGGCATAAGTACTGCTTTACAATACTCATCTTCATGCCAGAATCCAACACATACATCTTCCCTGACATTTCCTCTCTGACATTAAATGAAATACGCGATGTGAGCTACGGGACTGATCGCTCTCCAGGAGAGCACCGAGTAATTGTCACAATGCTGGCGCTTGACTTTTGAGTTTATGCGCCATCGACTCCATCGAAAAGGCCTCAAACTGAGCGGCTGACGTGTGGCGTGCACTGAAATGCCAGCCGGCATCTTTGCTGGCAAGGACTGTGACTTCTTTTGCAAGAGTCGCAGTGAAGTGGTTGGCAGCATAGTTAGCTGCGAGCTTGTGAAGAGTAGGATGCTGGAAAACAATGTCAAGAACAACTTCAACGTTGCAGAAGAACTCACGGCGCGTCGAGCAACTGTCATACACAGGATTTGTGAGTAGAATCTTCAAGAAGTCAACCAGAGAGTCTGTTCCGAGGGCAGTCAGAACGCGATTGACGCTCTCAGTGTTCATTGACGCGAGGAAGTTGATTCAAAGACGAATGCATTCATGGCGACTAGGTACTATAACGCGCACATCATTTAGATAAGAAAGGTTCCCACGCATAGTTTGCCAGCTGTCCTTCGTTGTTCTTCCAAGTTTAAGGTTTTTTTTCTTTGTCTGTGTTTATTTCGGAAGTAGCCGTCCTCCAGTAATGGGACTCAACAGCATCTGGAGATTGGAACGAACAACGAAGGACGGCTGGTTAGGAGCCTGGTTCAGAGTGAGTTTTCGCTCCTCAAACCTCTGCTGACCAATCAAGCTTCAAGGACCCTTCACGCTTCACCATCATGCATCTCATTGAACAGCTCCCTGACCCACAAATCACCCCAGATTAGACGTACCTTCACTCTGTAGTCATTGCTTGTGAGTTCTTCTCAAGCTTTTCACCTCATACGAAGCTAATCATTCTAGTAGAAATAAAGAGAACCGTCCCTGCACCTCAACTCTCAGTCTCTCAGTCGCGACAAATCTTCACCCTAAAAGGGATGTGCATCAGATTGCGGGTTTGTCATATGGAAGGTCCTATGCCCTTTTGTAGCAATTCACCGAAATGACGTGTCCAACAAGAGGGGGAGAACTTGTGCATCTCATCGCCGTCACAGATCCTACTTTCACAAGCAGGACATTGACGTCTTAAGTCGAGGTGAGTGTATTATATCGCTCTCACTTGTCTGTATGCTTACTAGAACAACAGATTGAAGATTACGACGACGGTCATGACACCCAATGGTTCGGACAGTCCAACTTGCTGAGGCCTCATCGACGGGAGCTCCTCATATCTGACTTATCAATAAGGCTGCCAGAAAAGCGCTCCTCGCTGTTCAAGACAGACAGACCGACCCAATTTTGCCCGATGGTTTCCCACCGCCAGCTTCAAATCCAGTGCTCAAAACTACATAGACGTGCGGTGCTGCTTAGCGTGGAATGGAAAAAGCTGGTCTGTGCGATTAGGTGGGTTGAGTGTGATGTACGAACTATGCATACTTACCTTACTTTTCTAGTATGCCTGTTCTTCGAGTTTTGCCAGCAGCGGAGGCGCATGGGAATTTGCTGCTGCAACGGCCCATTGTGCAAATAGGCCACCATTTGCCATCAAGAGGCTGGCTTTGGATTAGCCTGAAAATGATGACGACCTCCCGACCTGTAGAAGCCACAGGAGAAAACGCCTTGGCGTCGATGGTGTCCAACCTCCAGGAGCCGGAAGGGGCAGGGAGAGCCGCTGCTCTCAATCTAGGCTCATGCAGAGCAGCTACGAGGGGGTGGCAAGGAACTCTTTCAGCAACCACATCATGTGCAACATGTGGTCACAGCTTCGAAGGCACCGAAGAACAGTGGTGTTTTTGGACACCAATCACCATCACCATCCCAAATTCCAACAATCCAAGGAACCCGGCGTCTTACATCCTCATCTGACGCCCTCCAAGCCAATTCTATCATAACGATTTTATGTGCGGGTATAATGCTAGTCTCCCCGCCGGTATACGTTATCTCACCGGTCAATTAATCCCCCGACTCTGTATTGACTATCGCTCCACTGTCCCCTTTAAAATTGAATATGCAAAATGAGCAGCAAGCTCAAGGCCCACGTTGAACAATGTGGATCCCCCTTGCTGCTGCCCTGGCTGGGTTGGCTGTTGCCTGGCCCATGACGACGATTCCGACGACCACCACCACAGCACTTAACTTCCAACCTTCAGGTGGTCTCGGAACCAACTCTACACCTCCATTCTATCATCCCCTGAGCGACTTTGATTTCCAGTCCCTCGTACGCCTGGCTTGCTCATCTCATCTCTCGTCCATCCCTACTGATGTTCAATGACACAGAACCTCGCATTGAACCAACAGCTCCTCGAACTCGACCTCTTCCACTTTGGCCTCGCAACGTTCACAGTTCAAGAATTCGAGGACGTACAGATCTTCGAAGTGGATAGATTCCTCATCCAGTTCTTGGCTGACCAAAAAGTGTCGCATGCTACTCTGCTCTCGAACATGATCGGAGGTGGGGTAACCTCGTCCCATAACTCTCAGTAGCATTGAGGCCTAATGTTACGATACAGAACAAGCAGCCAATCAGTGCACTTATCAATTCCCATTCGAAGACGTCCGCGAATTCATCAACTTCAGCCAGCAGGTTCGTCCCTCCCTGCCTTTTCCTCTCTCCCCCTCTTCCTCACCGCCTCCTCCCCCTCTAGATAGCAGCAATAGGCGAATCCGGCATTCTAGGCTTCATCGAACACCTCGACTCACGCGCAGCCGCCCAACTCCTCGCCCAAACACTAACAGCCTCCTCCTGCGAACAAATGATATTCCGCCAATACGAAAGCCTCTTCCCCGTTCCTGTCGACTTTCAAACGGCGATTACCCAGAGTATGATGTGGACGCTGTTGGCGCCGTTTATTATAGATTGTCCAGCTGGGAATCTGCTGATTGAGTTCCAGAATTTTCCGGCGTTGAATGTTGTTGTGCGTTTCCTTTTTTTTCTTTTATCCTTCATCTTTCTTCCCTTCCCCCTCCCCCTCTCCTCCCTCTCCTCCCAATTCACCCATCTTCAAAACAGAACAACCCTGACCCAACACTCTTCGTCAACACCTCCATCCCAGACAACAACACCAACCCCGCCATCACGCATAACCGCTCCATTCCCCTCTCCTTCCCCGGACAACAGGTCAATCTTACTTGGGATTTACCCGGTCAAGCGATAGGCCCCAATAGTAGTTTCGTTACGAATACGACTGCTGGTCCACCTCAGGTGAGGTTTGGTTCTGATTTTGGTTTTGCGTCTTCTTCCATCCATCCATCTTTGAATTATGCGGTGGGACTGACGAATGGAATGTGATATAGTTCGTAGCTTGGATATCGCAACTCAATACCACCTACACCGTCCTCGAAAACATCGTCAATCAGACGGGGACGACGTTCCAGCCGAATGGCACCGTTTTTGGGAATGGGTCTTCGCCTATTGTTAATGCTACTATGCACGTACCCCCCCTTTTGTGGATCGAATCTAGTGACTGATAAACATATCAAAGGTTCATTGTGATAACGGATGAAGATATCTTCGTGACTCCGTTCAACATTTCGTTCATCAATCCGCATATTGTTGCTGGGCCTGCTGTTTATCAGGCTGGTTGAGCTCCGTTGGAGCGCATATCCCTCACCATTGAGCTGTGGATGACTTAGCTTCTACGTAGCTATGGACGACATCTTTTCTTATACGGACAATGTGCCCCTCTCAAGCACAACTTCCTCACTTTTCGTTTGACCTATTATCCTTTCCTTGTAGCACACGACATAGACCATTGACTTGCGACGATCTGATTATCTTATCATGTCTTTACTACGTGTACTTTTACGTGCTATTTACGAACGCCAGGACATTTGCCAGTTTGACAAGCCCTGGGAAAGTGATCAAAGTGTGCAACAATTGTACATGTTTTTGCGTCTCTTGCTTCTCAACAACATGCTCCCGTCATGGCTCTTCAAAAACTTGGGCATCCTACCACCACTACGCAGCCTCATAGTTCCACACCACCCATCCATCTCTTTTCAGCTGCAACCCACAGCTTTTTCAACGGCCAGAAGACTTCCCATACCTCTCGCTCGCAGGCCGTACACCACATCTCTACCACATACAGAGCCAATATCAGAGGATGCCTCTGCCACTTCTTCTTCTTCCTCACCCTCCTCCTCCTCTTCTCCATTAACAACCACCTCTTCCCAACCCCTCCCCGAAAAACTCGAACCCCGACTCTCCATGACATTCACATGTACAGTTGAGGGATGCGGCGAACGCTCAACCCACCAATTCACAAAACGCAGCTATGAGTGCGGTATTGTGTTGGTTGAATGTCCGGGGTGTAAGAATCGGTGGGTTCCTTCTTTTCTTTTGAGATTAGGGTCTGACTCGCAAGAACGTAGACATCTGATAGCGGACCATCTGGGCTGGTTCAAATTCGGCACTGAGGAGGGGAAGAATCCTACGATTGAGGATATACTCCGTTCTAAGGGGGAGAAGGTCCGGAGGGGGACTTTGGGTGCTGGTGGGGTGGTGGAGTACTATGACTGAGTTGAGGAAGTTTTATGTTGGTTCCCCACTGTGCTATGATGAACTACCCACTTACATATTCTATTGGATTGGTTAACTTATAGGCTTGTAATGCGCGCTGAGCTGAATAATTTTAGTAATCTCTGGATAGGCAGGATCTAATTATAGGGTCATATGGCAAGCGCGCGACACACTCTGGACCTGAAGGTCGACGTTGAACAGGAGCGTACTAGTATTCGTCCGCGACTGTCCTTGTCACCCGGCCTCAAGCTACTCAAAGTCACATACCACCCTCGCAAATTGGACTCTTAAGCATAGCGCATCCCCTTCTACCCCAAGGATGTCCTTCAAAGACGGTGCTGCAGCAGCAAGCACCATGATCCTCACTTGACCACATCCCATGAACAGGAGGAACTCTTGTATTCGCCACAAGTTGTCCAAGTTCAGGTGTTTGTGGTCAATGCCAATCAGGGTGGGCTTCATCCAACACTTGAACCCATTGGACCATTTTTTTGCGAGGCATAGTCGCTTGTTCACACGACGAATCCGCTCCAGGTACCTTAACCACGATTGCATGCCCCGCTGCCTCTCCTCCGCGACTGTCTATCATTCATCAGTTCGGCCAACCTAGCCAAAACCCAATACCAACCATCAAGAGCCTCAGCAGATCGACCAGCCCCTCGAGCGTAATCACCGGGCAGGGATTCTGGAAACAACTGTGGACAAATGGCAGCGGACAAAAGCATTCCCCCGTACGAGTGTGACGGGTTTGATCAATTAAGGGTGGTGACGGAAATGACGAGAGGCTGCATGCATCATCCATTAAAGGTTCCCTAGGATATGACCGCATGCCAGCTGGTTTCCCCTCTCCCCCACATCTGTCTGATTTTGGCATCGTTCGTCAGTTCGGCCACCCAAGCAAGAACCGAGTCTCAACCAATGTCAACCTCTACATACAAATTGACCAGCTGCTCCTCGAGCATCATCTCCTAATCATCATACCGGGGCAATATGTTTTGAAAGCCACCGTGAACATTCGTTTGTTGACTGCCAGCACCCTCGCTTCTCGTGGGGTCCTTGGAAGGAGTGTACTCGTCCAGCTTGGCTATCGGGTCACCTATTCCAAGCCTGCCATCGAGGATACCTACAAATCGAGCCTCTCCCCCCAAGGACATAAATGCTTTGAACAGGCACTTTTAGGACGACCGTAACGAAGGTGATTTGGCTATGGAATGAAAATGGAGGCTGCAAGCATTACCTCCCGAGATCTCAGCCGTTGTTGTATCCCAGCCAGATGTCCCTCTCTCCCTCACAGTCTGGCATTGTTCTACGTTCGTCAATTGAGTGCCCTAACCGGAACCGAATCTCAACCATTGGGGGGTTAGCCCATCTTACAACGTCATGTATATCTATATCCAGACAATGAACCACTGCAAGTCCAGGTTTCCAATAAACGTGTCCCTTCGCTCATTCTATCAGGTTGGTGTGATGAATGGTCATGCTCAAACCCTCATTTAGGCCCTCTCCCTTCCCGTTCCACACATCCACTTCCACCGCGGTCCGCATCGCCCACTGGAACGAGGCCACGGGCAGCAGAAACACCCATCATAAACATCTTTCATATATGTTGATGTTGCTCACGGGATAGATAGCAACATCGCTTGGTTGTGCTGGAAAAAGAACATCCAAGTACACAACACACCATTGATGACGTCTTTCACAAAATAGTTTCGTTTTGTTGGGACGATTCTGGACACCGTGATTATAGAGAAACGGAACGTCTATACATTTTCCCTGGTGGGCAAAGGCTATCGGCACTTGGGGCTCTTCATTGCTGTGTTGTTCTGGTAGACGTTGGCTTGGTATCAAGACGTCGTTGATGGGCTGGGATTGTGTTGGTTTTAGCTAACTTATTGACGTAGATATTTCTGGTGATAAATGTAATGTATTTCACACCATTTTGACATGTACATAAAACAAAATTGGAACCCCACCATCACAGTCGAATATGTGTGATCCCGAACCTCTCTACGTTCAACGCCTCCAACCGAGCCCAATCCTCCGTATGACACGCATCAGCGAAAAACCCAATTGCCGCCGTCCTCAGTTGCATGATGGGGCGGCCTTCGGTCCTGGCTAACCACCTAGACTCAACCATATTCGCGACCTTTCCATCCTGGGCTGAAATGCATCCCCACAGCTTGATGGTCGTGAGATTCGGACAGATAATCTCTGATGGGGTATTCTCGACCAGTTGGTCGTCCCCACTGCCCAGAACCTTTTCTGAATAGATGACTGGTGGTGTATACGTCAACAGCCTGAGCACCTCATCCGTCACGTACAGATGCTTTTCGTGATCTTCCGTGATAGACAACGAACCCAATGACTTCGATATCTGCGGATATGCGAGGCACTCCGCTATCTCTTCCGCGGAGATATCGCACTCCTGAATGATGAACTGCTTGATGGTGCAACCTGAACGTAGGAGGAATGCGAGGAAGTGAGATTGTGGCCAGCGGCAGAACATTCCAAGAGCAGTGGGTAAGACCAAGGTAAGACCCCATCCACCTCGGAGAGCGAAAGATCCTTCAGAGCCGGTAGAGTGACTTGGTCAAAGAGAGCTGCCAGGTTACCTGCAGTACTTAGATAGAGACGTTCTAAAGTGTTGTGGACAAATAGGCCATCGTCGTTACCGACCGGATACATGGGAAGAAGGAGTCTCAGTTCCAGGGATTTGAGATGAGGACAGATCGCGAGAAAATTAAGACCCTCGGACATAGAGATGTCGGGGCCCAGCGAGAAGTGTGTGAGCTGCTCCTAGGGAAAGGCGAGCGTCCTGTATGATTCCCGGCTCAGCCAGCTAATGGAATGCAGCCGTGGTGCGAAGACCATCATGGATTTAATGCGGTCCACGTCTTCTTGTGCCCACGAGTAGCAACTTTCGTCCAAGTATACCTCTTCAAGTAAAGGATAAGTGGTGTCCATGGGGAGGGAAGCCAACCTAACATTCCCACGCAATGCACGGTTATACCTCAGACGGACTTTCGGCCATCGAAAGTGATGGGGAATGAAGAGATCAAGCATGGACGCGACTTGTGATTCAAGGTACTCAGAGTTCGTATTGCCGTATAGTATGATGGGCGGGTTCTGATCAGCTCGTGCATGGCTGCTGCGAAAAATTGAATCTCTTTCTTCAATAGAGAAAGAAAGCGCGGAGGAGCCAGAGTGCTCAATCCACTTTTCAACGGTCCGTTTGTCAGGGTAAAACACCCCGTCCCGTATCTCGACCAGTATCAAGGACCATAATTCGGGCATACCGAGTGCAATATTCTTCCAGGAAACACAAACACCAGTCAGAACATTTGGAGAGACGTAAGTTGGGGATCGGAGAAAATGCCTGTCAGAGGCCCAGAGGAGGAATAGGATACGAATGATCTCTGGGGGAACCTTGCGTATGGGCGACAGTTGGTCACAATGGAGATCCGAGTCCAACTGGTCTGAGATGTCTTTACGTTGCTCCAAGAGCCGTCGCAGCTCTAGTTGGCCTTCCTCGATTTCAGGTTTGATTTCGTCGCAAGTTTCGCTGCGATTCCTGAACCTCGTGTTTGAGATCTGCCCCTCCGATCCACCTTGCAGCGATTGCAGATCACATTCTATGTTAAACATTTGTTCGCCAATGTCATCAAGGAGAGCTTCACCTCTGTCGACAGTGCTGCTCAAGGCCGCCAACAGGGTGTCTGCTTCGTTTCACTGCTTCATCATAGTTTTCAAGGCTTTCTGAGCAATTTCCTTCTCAGTCTCGAGTTCGACGATGATTTGCTTGTGGTTATAGCAATACCTTCTAGTCGTGAGGCAGTATAGAGCGCTTGAACGATGGAGTGACACTGGTCACGACCAATTGGTGACTCCCGTAATCAGTGGACTATCTGTTTCTGACAGGGAATAGTCCCACTTCTGCACCACTGAGGGGTATTGTGAGGGTGAGGAATACATTGTGCCTTTCTAACAACTTGAGTAACAGCTTGAAAGGACTGAAGTCAAAACGTGAGGGAAATCATGAGGCAAGCCCTTCATCTTGACTCGCTTGGGGAGCAAAAAGAGTTGACCATGAAGTTGGTTGATTACAGGCTGATGTTAATGAGCTCAAACAGGCGTCTGATATCCCCTTGTTTGCGGGCCGCCGATACAGGTGAGCAAGCAGGAGTATATAGGGTCATGCATGCGAGCATATTCCCAAAATTCCGAATGGAATCCAGCAGTCGCCCAATCAATGATCGCGGTTGCTTTCGAGCCAAAAAATATTCCTTGGGAAGAAGTGGGGGCAACACATTGACACAAATATATTGGCACAAAAATTGTTGATGGTCGACAAAGTCTAACACGCTGGAGAATGCTTGTGAGGCGCCCTCCGGGGTGACCAGGACTCGTTGCGATACGAGTCACCCATTATCGACCCGACGACAACTGGCTTGAAACGCGACGTGACCGTTCGTGTCATCACACAGGTCCCCCACATATTGTCCTCCACCATGAGATATGCAGCCCTTCATCACGGATAAGGGGAATCAACAAGAAATCGCATTTCTGAACCTGATGCTGAGACTAATCCAAAGTCAATGACGCTAGATTTGAGGTCTCATCGTCGAGAGTTACTCGTCAAGCTTTTGTTCCCCAAGGCCAAAGGTGAACTTGAAGTGCCTGTTACCGTCCTCCATCAGAAACTCATGGAAGTCGAAACTCCTGCATGTATAACACCTCTGGCAGAGCCAACAGCTTAGACTGAGGTCAAAGTTCGGCCACCTTGAAGTTCAATTGAAGAAAAGACTTCACCACGAACATTGACGGTAAACTTGCTGGGCTCAAGCTTGGGGGCCCACAACCAATCGTTTTGCTGCGATGCAGCTGTTCGGCGCTTTGGTCGACATGCTTCTAACCCATGCCCGCAGAGGTACAAAATGTATTGTGCGTTTTGACAGGGCAACTTCATTGAATCATGCCGGCGAATTCTGCCAAAAAGTATTAAAAAATGGGGACGTATTAATCAATACACGCACCCTGTGTTCGCTACCCCGTCCAAGCCAGGGTGAAATTCTTCATCAGGATTAAGATGCCAAGTCATGCTCCTCGTCTTGCTTCGCCTGAACCACGTACTCCATATGCGCTCTAACCTGAGCAATTGAGTGCCAGTACTTCTTCTCGTGGAACGTCCAGGCATTCAGCAGCCGTCATCCCTGCTGGTGGGTGTCTCGTACCTCCAAACTTCCGGAAAATAAGGTTGTCTACACCGGGAGGAGAGTACTGGCAGTTTTGAGCTGAGCACGGTCGTCGACTACCACCCATTCATTGGGATTGAACCTGAGCGCTAAGCTGTTGAAGTTTGACATTAATCGCACTTGTTGAGAGAATTCCTTAAAGAATGAAAAGCGTACTGGGATGGAATGAATAAAACGGAATTTGCCTCTGTGGGACTACCATATAGGCAAGCCAGATCCAAGATACTGCTCGCTCCTTTCTTCTCAACGCCTTGATCGGCGAGCACGCGCAACACCGTTTTGCTGAAATTCCACATTCGCAGTGAAGAAGCCTATGGTGGTAGTGAATGGCAGGTGAACGCTGGGTGACGTTCTAGACAACTCAGTCAACAAGCATACAGCAAACACGCCACTCTGGCTCATTCCTCCTCATCATCCACCGTCCAACATGGCCTTGAGTTGCACCACAAAACTTTGAGACAAAGGTACGTCTCTTGAATTTTGAGCTTCTTTCTTACAATGTCAAATTGCTACCCTCAGAGGCCCGTGATGATCAAGTCCTGCTACTAAGGCAGCTAAAGGCCTATTCACAGGCTACCACTCTGGAAACACACACAAGTGTTCTTACACAACCAGTACATCTGTGTAAACCAGAACTCATTGAAGCAAACCTACCATAATCACATGGCCTCGACCCTCCTTCGCACTCCCCCGCCCCTTCAGATCCTAATCCCGCCATCCGAGTTTACATGGCCGACCTAGTGCCAGTCATAATATGGGAACAAATTAAAGCACGCTCGTCGAGATTTCAATGAGGTTTCAACCGCCTCTGCTTCGACACCATGCATCTATTCGAGGAAGTTGTCTCACTAGTGCCTACCACTTTTATGATAAAACATAAGCAGTTGCCTGCACAGTCTTTTCAATCCCCCCAATTGAAATATGATATGAAATGCCTAGGCCATTTCATTGTTTCCTTGGGAGGCTTTTCAATCCTTGCCCTTCGCTTTTTTCATTCTTTTGGGGGAGCATTTCATTTCTTACCCTCAGCATTTTTCATTGTTTCCTTGGGAGCCTTTTCAATCCTTGCCCTTCGCTTTTTTCATTCTTTTGGGGGAGCATTTCATTTCTTACCCTCAGCATTTTTCATTCCTCCCCTCTGCCTTTTTCAATCCTTGCCCTTCGCTTTTTTCATTCTTTTGGGGGAGCATTTCATTTCTTATCCTCAGCATTTTTCATTCCTCCCCTCTGCCTTTTTCAATCCTTGCCCTTCGCTTTTTTCATTCTTTTGGGGGAGCATTTCATTTCTTATCCTCAGCATTTTTCATTCCTCCCCTCTGCCTTTTTCAATCCTTGCCCTTCGCTTTTTTCATTCTTTTGGGGGAGCATTTCATTTCTTACCCTCAGCATTTTTCATTCCTCCCCTCTGCCTTTTTCATTTCTCACCTCCCTTTTTCATTCCCTTTGGGGGAGCATTTCATTTCTTACCCTCAGCATTTTTCATTCCTTCCCTCTGCATTTTTCATTCCACTTGGTGGGAATTTCATTCCTTGCCCTTCGCTTTTTTCATTCTTCTTTTCATTCCTCCCTCTGCATTTTTCATTACACTTGGATTCCTTACCCTGCGCTTTTTTATTCCCTTGGGGGGTGGGGGGGGTTACTATAGTTCCTTACCATCCACACTTTTTATTCCCTTAAGTGGTGGAGATGGCCCCAGGGAAACGACAGAAAGACGAATGCAAACTTGGTACATGTGTGTGTCTCTAAAGCTTCTGCCAAACATGACCAAACACTATCAGACACTCCCGTGGGTTATTGCATTCCTTAATCTATCATCCGTAGAATAAAAAGGAGGGTAGGCAAATGGATCAAATTAAATGTAATAGATAGTATCTATGATGATGGAGAGTTATACTTCGTGACGTGGCACCATTGAACAGATGAAAACTCATCCAGACAGACGACGGCTAGTTATCAATTTGAGCCAATGTAAGACAAAAAACTGACGACGCTTACCTCTTTCGCTGAGCTTCGCCTTCGCCGTCGCCCGTTTCTTCATGCACTCGTTTGATGGGGACTGTAATGGGAGAAATCGGTTTTTTAATCCACTGTTGGATCACCCATGTAAGTTCGTCGACGGTAGACCAGGCCTCGACGTCGTGTTTCGCATTCTGGGCCTTGATCCACCAAGAAAGCGCCATAACGACGATGTAGATGCCCGCCGTACCTCCCTTCCTCATTCCTTGCCAAGTTTCGCCGATCGGAACATCGCGGCTGAACACAATAGATCCTGCGTTATCGCCTTTCCGCCAGTCAGGCTGTAACAATGTCCACCACTCCGTGAAACGTTGGCCGAATTGAGTAGGCTCGACTGGCGGTACAACATCTTTCTTCTTGCTTCGTATCCAGTCGGAGATCTCCTGGGGTCGACACTTCGTGGGCAGCTTCTGTGTACATGTATAAAACGATCAGTTTCAACTTTCGCAAAGAAGAGAAAACTTACGCCGCTTGGCGGACCCCCTTTTTCAAATTCGACGAACTCTGTTACCAGGTTTTGCCAGGCCCTATCCGTTGCGACTCCGCGCAAATATCCGATCATCGGAACGAGCCAGGGTGGCAGATTCACGTCGTTTTGAGGCTTTTGAACCAGAGAGGGCGGATCGCTCATGACCACATCGTCGTTGCCCTTGTTCTGATTCAGTTGTTCGCCACCGACAGCCATAGGTTTGACAGCAAGGCCAATGTCAGTGACAGGAGGTGTGGCCACCGCGCCTGGAGTGTCGTAAGAGGGCGCACTGGCAGGGTGAATCGTAGAAACCGAGGCTGTGGGGTAAGCGTGAGATGGATCGCTCATAACGACATCGTCGTTACCCTTGTCTTGAATTGGTTGTTCGCCATCGACAGTGGTGGGTTTCCTGGCAAGCCCGATGTCAATGATGGGAGGTGTGGCTGGGACAGCGTCTGGAGCATCGTAAGAGGGTGCGCTGGCAGGGACAGAAATTGAGGCTGTGGGAGATGGGGAAGACTGGATATGCGACACCGTTGGAGTCTGCTGAGTGTCGAGAAGAACCGTGCTCAGAGCAGGGTGAGCAGCTGCATCGCTCGTGGCCTGTGGTGCTTCAGCTGTGGTGGGAGCAGGTTCTTTGGTGGAGGCGCTGTACGAAGAGATGTCAACATGATTCGTCACCCGTGGTCACGCCAGTGGCCACTCACCCAATCTTATCTTTGCCTCTCTGTGACTGCCTTCTGACTGCCATCTCATTTCGTACTTGTTTCCCCTTCTTCGTTGCTGGTGTCTTCGATAACTTTTTTTTTGTGAACTCTTCGGGAAGTGGAAACTGCTCGTCTAACTCGGCGAGCCTTTCTTTAATCTCCCTGATATTCTTATCCTTAGTTATCTCGTATTGGCTTTTCCCAGCGACGGCGGCGTTATCTGAGTCATCGCCCGAACCATCAACCTTCTCGTCTGATTGTTCCCACTCTCCAGTTTCCATCTGTCGGTCACTTGGTGCGGGCTCAGGTTTCACAAGGCTCCTCGCGGCACAATCCTCTGCGGCTATCGACGATGTAAGTTTAGCTGTTTCGATCTTGCTCGGGTACTTACAGAACGAAGCGTTAAGGAAGGCCTCGAAAGGCAGAAGAAGCTTTGCATCGTAATCCTTGTCACCGATGAATTTTTCAAACGTCTCCCCAGCTTTAGTTTTGCCGGTATGTGACCTACAGCCATTTGAGTTCCGTGTTACGATGCTCATGGGTAATCAGCTTACAGGTAAGTCATAATCACTCCGTCGTTGTCTGGGGTAGGACCACCCATGAGAATACTAACGTTCCAACCAGTTTGGCTCATCAGTGATTCCCCAATTGTTGTCAAAGTACGAGGAAGCATATCGATTGCCCTGGATGCAAGACAGGTGAGTTTTCTTCTACACTCGACTCAGCGAGAGAACGTACTCCTGAAACTTAGCGTTTTTGACCGCATCCGGTTTGTCTGGGTCTGGGGTGGCTGCTTCGCTTTGACGTCGCTTCCTATATTCCTCACATTCCATCTTAACTTCATCCGTCTCCTTCTCGAACTTTTCTTTGATAAACTCAATCATGATCTGAAACCGGTTTTTGGGACATTTCTCTTCTGGGTGTTCAGTCAGCCACGCGTTCTTGTATGTCAACCATGCCGCGTCGACTTCGGGCTTCCATCTGCTCTCATATGTCAACGCTTGGTAAGCCTGCCAAGGTTGGAGCATTCTTGGCTGTGTCTTCTGTTTAATTTTGAGGATGCCAAGGCTCCCGGGCGCAACATTTCTGGTGTTGTTGGGGAACCAACCAGAGATGCGCTGTTGAGAAAGGTCAGTTGCTATTTCTCTGTTATAATATGTGCTCACCTTCTCATACTTCCCTTGCTTGACTTGTGTTGCGCGCTCTGTAGAACCTGCCTCGTCGACTTCTTGTTGAGTAACTGACGGCATAGGCCACTGTTCGCAGAACTCTTTGATCACGATGGGGAAGAAGTCTTTGGCGGCGGTCTTCTTTTGATTCGCCTCAATGTATCCAGGCTTCCGCTGTTCCAACCATGCCTCTTGTTCATCGGTTGTCCACTTTCGGCGGGTCATATTCAGGGAGTGCGGAATGGTCAGAGTGAGGGATTTATGTCAATTTTGGTGGCCTGATGGTTATATTTGTTGGCTCAGTTTTATTTGTCCCCAACAAATTTTCACTTTTGATTTGCCAGCACAGACGACAGAACTGTACGTCCTCAACATGTTTTCCAGTTTCTATCTCAAATTATTGACAGATATCGCTCCCAAATCAATTCTAACCTTCAAATCGAGTGGCAGCGATGCCACCTCCTCCAATTAACTGGCACACCAAACCAAAGCCCAGCCAGCAACGTCAAGATGGCTCAGAAAGTACCAGTCTCGGAACTTTGCAGCCACCTGGTGCTACCGATGCAGCCATCCCCGTATACATCAATCCTGCTCGCCTACGCGACATCGAAGCAGCCCTGCGATTCCTTGGCCTTCCTCCGCTGTCACGCACTGACAGCGAGGATCAGGTCGAGTATCACCGAGCATTCAATTCTCCTGGGGGCCATTACTCTCAAGTGTCGGCAGAGCATTCAGATCTCAGGACTTCCTCCTCACGGCTTTCTTCATCGGACCTCGCAACTTCTTCCTCACGGCTCTCCTTGTCGGACCTCACGACTTCCTCGAGGCCCTCTGCATCGGAACTTACAACTTCTTCCTCACGGCTCTCAGATCTCACGGCCTCCTTCTCGCGGCTCTCCACGTCAACCAGTTCGGTTCAAATTTCCACAGCTTCATTCCCAGTTCAACGGACTCCAGCCATCCGTTCGGATCCATCGCCAAGGAAGGATCTGAAAAAATATTACGTCGTCACTGTTGGAAAGTGCACCGGGATATTCTGGGACGAGTGGTAAGCAATGTGTTCTAATTTTGATATATGGTTCACTAATATGATTTACCACAGGGATAAAGTCACACCTCTCATCCATGGGGTATCCGGCGCTCGGTATAAGGGTTTTACAACTCACACACAGGCGGCGAAGTTTTATCAGGACGCAAAGGAGAACGGTTTGGTGAGCGTTGTCAGGGATCCTGGGGATGAGGAGTTGTTCGGCCCATTGTATGACGCGATGCAGTAGTTAGTGCAGTAATTAGCACGATCCTTGCGCTCCTATCTTTGTTTTTGAATACGTATGTTTATGGACTACCAGTGACTCCAACCAACCTCAGAAATTGAAATTCAGTGTGGCATAGGAAATTTGTTATGGGTAAGAATGTCGATCTCGAACGGTGCGTGTCCAAAAATAGATATTGAAACTTGAATGCTGAGTGGCACCAACTTGACTGCAACCCAATGAATTTTTGACCTCTTCTTCAGTATCAGGGCAGAGAAAACTCGGTCAGGTTATAGTAAACATCAATTAGATTAAGGATCAACTGGGACCCGCAATTTCTGAGCGGAGCACTGAGGTTTCTGATTCAGATGGCAAGCAAGTTGAATATCCTTTGTACGTTCGCCAAGCTGCCGTTGAACCTAATACATGAAAGTAGTAGTTCTGGACTGACATTAGAAACACTGGGATTATCCAAAACCTACCAACCGGTCTATCAACCTGTTGGGGCTTTAGTAGTAAAGACCCGTTACATCGTTTTTTGAAGTTCATGGATTGGTTGTGCATCTACACAATAGTAGTAAAGATTCGGCTTCACGTTCAACAACGGATTCAATTTGAACATGTTTCCTTGAATAGATTTGGAATAGATACATTAATTTTTCATTCCCTACACGATGGCAAGGAAATCTGAATAGATAGGTTCAAAGGGCACCTAATATCGATTCTGGAATGATGTCACACGACTCGATCACATTTCATTTTCTTAACGTAAACTCAAGCCCATGACCAAACGTCCAATTTCTCCTAACACAGCACCTCCACCTAAACGCTCTCGCAAACCCGCTGGATTTCGCGTAGCTCGCCGTCCCCCGACAAACTCTCCGACTCCCTCTACCAATTCATCTCTATTCGTCACAGTTAGACAGCCAGACGAGCAACGTGTTACCCTAGAAGCTAGCAGCCGGGTGATTTCTTCTGCTCAATCTCGACAACCTTCGATTTCCGCCGAAGCCGAGCAAGGGAATGACAGCACCGTTGGTATTTCTGGTGCTGAGAATCCTGAGAATGGACCCCCACCTGAGCAAGAGCCCGTGAAGCCCAAGAGGAAAAGAAAAACAAAAAATGCAGTATTTAATTTCTATAAAATCTCTTGCCTCGTATATTCTAACTTGTCATCAGGATCATCTCGCCGAATGGCTCAAATTCAGAAACACATTTTTGGATGAACTCCTTCGACACGATGGACTGGGAGATTTTTTAGACCAGACGGAATGTCCAGATTGTAAGAAGGCGCCCGGAGTTATAAAGTGTAAGGACTGTCCAAGCGGGCGAACGTTGAAGTGCCCCGAATGTGTCGTAGCTTCCCATGCAACGTTTCCTTTACATCGTGTCGAGGTGAGCCGCATCACATGATGGCCAAACATTACTCACATGACATTGTTGGTCAGCGGTGGAACGGGGAATTTTTCGACAAGGACTCTCTCCAAAACCTTGGACTGTGCTACCAAGTTGGCCACTCTTTAGGGCCTTGTCCTTGCCCTCTCGCCGGTCCTAAAAACTTCGTTGTTTTCGATCTCACGGGCTTTCATTCCATCACGATCAAGTACTGTAACTGTGGCGCGCAACCTCTATCCAATTGGGCCCAGCTCTTGCGCGAACGATGGTTTCCCGCTACTCTTTCGCGTCCACAAACAGTCTTTACTTTTGACTGCCTCGAAACCTTTCACGAAATTACACTACAAGGGAAAACGAGCCTGTACGATTTCTATCATACGCTACTACGCCGGTCCGATAATGCCAACATCTATACCTCAATCGTGAGTCGTGTACTTCCTTCCTTCGTTTAACTTCTTTGTAAAACTGAATCACACTGTTTACTAGAACCGGTACTCAGAGATCCACCGCGTTTTTCGAATGTGGCGGAATTTGATGGCATTCAAGCGAGCCGGTCAAGGTCACGAACCAGGAGGAATCCAAGCCACGTCCAAAGGGGAGTTGACAGTGGAATGTCCGGCATGCCCCCACCCTGGCCGAAATCTCCCAGGTGATTGGGAGAAAGCTGGGTTGTTATCGTGCGTCTTTTCGTGTTTCCATTTGTCTCATGACCCTTATGACACATTCATATAGATTTCTATATATTCTCTACATTTCTATCGACGGAAACTTTAAGCTCAAAGGGCACTTCAGTCACCCACTGCCAACTGACTATTAGTCATGCAAACTCCACGTAAGTTACATGACTAAATGTCATGGACCATATCTATATTCTAGATATATATGGGTCCTAGAAAGCCCTGAAATCTAAAATATATTCTTGAGACATGGACCCTGAAATGTCACACAAAAATTATAATGTCTGTGTCACACCACCAAAATATATTTTGCAAGTGAAATGCAGTAAGGATATATTTTTGGTGAGTGGACCCTGAAATGTCACTGTCACACCTTAGAAATATATTTTTGCCCTGGCTTGGCCTTAGGATATATTTTGTGAAACAGATGTGGTAAGGATATATTTTTCTGGTCTGTAGGGGTGTCAGGGGTCCTAGTTTCAGCAAAAAACTTGTGATTTTTTTGCTGTCTGGGGTATATATTCTGGAACATTCTGCAATGATTGCTAGGGGTTTTGGCACTATGTCTGGCTTGTGCTCCCAGTATGTAGGTAGCAATAAGGGGCCTTAATAGCATCTGTAATCTACCACTTCCAACCACACCATAATTACAGTTTGCATTACAGATTCATTCATTCTCCTCTAACAAATTTGGGCATCAATGACATGTGTGATTCACCTTGAAGCTATTCAGTCCAAGATTCCTGAGTTGCTTAAGCATTATCCACTTTGACACTATGGATACAGTTCACACTATGGAATTTTTTAGCTGCTTAGAAATCCCCTTCACATCTGCCTCTACTTCAGCTCCGAGATCTCTAGTTGCATCTTATCTGCATACCCCACCAACATCTGTATTAGTCAAACCCCCACATGTGATATCAAACATCTCTCCCAATCCAGTTTCAAAAACCAGAGTTCTCTGTTGTTTCTCTCTTTCTCTGTCCAGTTGCACCTTATCTGCATACCCCACCAACATCTGTATTACTGTAGCATGACAGTTCGGTAAGGCTTCACTGTTGCACTTGGTACTTCCCTCTCCCCAAGATTCAACTCTCTTCCACTGTATTGCATTTCATTACATAAGCACTGTACATATACCTCATGTCGTACATGAGGCAGAATTCATCTTTCTTACCACCATAACCTCTGTATCACTTGATACTTAGCTCTACTAATGGTTAGATCCAGCTCTCAGAGATCAGTGGAGATTGAGAGACCTGTTTACGCAGCTAGAGCACTTTCCATTGGGACTGTCTGTGGAAATCGGGATACAAGTTCCGTGAACAGTCATGTTCTACAATCCCAGCACTTAGCTATGATTCTTGATCTCTATGAGGGTCTTCACACCTTCATTTGTGTATTTGTCAGACTCCCTACAGCTGTCCCACTACTTGTAGGACACTTATGCTCAGTAGTGTTCCACAATTACCATCCCCTGCCAGTCATACCCCTGCATGTGATATCAAACATCTCCCCACTTTCAAAAACCAGAGTTCCCAAAGTTCTTTGTTGTTTCTCTCTTTCTCTTCCTCTCTCCCTCTCCTCCTCTTCTCCTCTCCCTCCCTTCCTCTCTTTTTCTCTTGACTCATGATTGTAAATTTATGGACAACCAATTCCATTCTTCTCTAGCAACTTCTGTTCACCATGTCATAATATGGAGGCACACATATCTTTCCACTAAATCCTGGACCAAGATCTATTTCTCAACCATATCATGAATCTAGATACATAATTTTGAACTATATCATGAACATTTTAATTAGGTGCTGAAGCAAGATATATTTATCAACAATATCCTGAATTAACATACATCATCTTACAAGTATATCTTGAATTTTCCCACTACATTCTCAACCCA